GCGGGCTGGGTTTTGGGGCTTTTTTTGGGTCTCTGAATGAATGGAGCGTTCCAAATTGGTCGTGAATGGAGGGCGGTGCCCGCTTGCAGACTTTTTCAATGAATAACCAGGCCCCATTGTTGTGCTGGCGGAAAAACAGCCCGCTCCCGAGAACACAGAGGCTGCCGAAGAGAAACAGGCCCGTGATGGGCAGCTGGAGCGCCTCCAAAATTCGTTTCCTTTGGCTTCCCAGCTGCTCAGCAAGGCCAGGCCTCTAGGGGTGATGGGCCCTTGCGCCGAGGGAGGGGATTAACCCTAGATATGCCAGAGGACAGCCCCTTGGCCCGTGGGGTGAGAGAAATGGGGCTCCTTGAATCTACTCTGCCTGGCATTCAGGGGGTTGCCCAAGCAAACCCCACAGATCTCGGGGAATGTGTTGTGTGGTGTGGTGTGTTTTTTAAGACCAGCTTAATTAGCTAAGCCTGGAGCTGCCTCCGCCTCTCCCGGCCTGAGGGCGAACTGGAGAGCTGCGCTGCGAAGCCTCACCAGTACCAGCTGAGCCCAGGGGGTTCCGTGATGGGGCACTGGCCCACGATGCACTGCGGGGGGCTGGTCCTGGTGCCCGTGGGATGTGTCGGACGCCTGGAGTTAATGCTCCGCCGCTGTTTAAGCCCGGCTGTCTTGTTCAGCCATTGCTGGGTAAAGCCCTCTGACGTCCGCGCTTGCCTAGCGCGGCTGCTTTTAGACATTAAATAGGCTAAGCATTTATTAGTTGGTTTAAAAAATTATATATAGTGGCCGGGCTCTGTGAGCCGGCCGGGGGCAGCGGGATCTGGCTGAGCTTTTCAAGGGGCACTGTCCTTTGAATGACTCGGGGGCGTGGGGGTTTTCTCCCCCCGTCGTGAGCTGTCTCCCTTCACTGCCAGTGTTCCCCCAAAGCCAAGTGCCCGTTCAGACGGCCAGCGATCGGCCGGGGAGGGAGGGAGGTTGGATTTGTCACAACTGCTGTGCAAGTGGGGGGGAGGGTTGCTGTGCCAAATGGGACTCCTGGTCCTGCAGCCTTGCAGTTGCATGGCCTCCAGTGCTTGCCTGCTGCCTGCCCCCCGACTCCTGGCTGCTGGGGCGCACTCAGAGAGGAGGTGGGGGGGCCTCTCGGTTCTTCCCTGGGCGCCAAGGCCTGGCTGTGCTCTGCCATCCGCCGCAGGTTGAACCTCTCTAGTCCGGCACCCTTGGGACCTGCCTGGTGCCGAACCGGAGAATTTGCCAGACCACGGAGGTCAGGAGTGCCTAGCAGCATTGCCAGCACAGCCACCGCTTGCTGGGCTCTTGGAGGACATCCGGGGTAAACTGGCGCTAGCCAACAGCACAGAGCTCCGAGAGCCAGGCCTGGGGGCTGAAGCCAACTTTTTGGGATGGAGGAATGTCCACCCCCATGAAACGTGGACATTGGGCCGACTCAAACCGCGCCAGGCCACGGATGTTGCCGGACTGGAGAGGTTCCGCCTGGACTGGAGAGTTCCTGCGCCTTGCTCTCCGACGGTCCATCCATGCTGCTAGGCGATCCGGCCTGGGACCTCCCGGTCTGCTGGGATCCTGTCATTGGGAAGGAGGGAGGGGGGCAAAGCCCAGCCCGGGCATGGGAGGAGGCAGGTCCGAGGCCAGAACAGGATTGCGTGGAGCTCTTGCTGGTCACTGTTTTTGGGGACAGCTCCTTGAACGTAGGGGAGCGTGGTTAGGTGCCCGCCGGCGTCTCAGTGCAATTCGCGTGAGCTGGGGTTTTATCAGCCGGGAGAGGGGGGATACGGCATCCCGGCTCGGGGCCTTGAAGTCGGATCAGAGGGGAGTTGCCCAGCCCTCCCCAGCAGACCAGACCCGGGCCGAAACAGGACCGATAGCGGCTGACCAAGCACAGCGGGGAGGGAGAGTCCTGTGAAAGGAACTGGCTTTGCTCCAGCGTCTTGTGCAGCGCCTCCGGCCGCCAGAGCTGGCGCAGGCCTGAAGACGCCAGCCGATGCGGCTGCTTCTGCCTCTCCTGGAGAGGCAAGATACCCAGCAGCAAATGTAACGGCTGCGGGGAAAGCAGCGCTCAGATGGGCCCGGAGCTATCGGAGCCCAGGCTGGGCGTGTTCCCGCCCCCGTTCGGCTCCCTGACTGCCGCCTGCTCGGATGTCACCTAAAGCCGTCCCAGAGGAGCCGTCGGCATCAGATAACTGAGCAGGACCCAAGGTCACCCCGTGCCAGAGAGCCGGGAGATGCCTGCCCATGGCTGGGTCCCCCTCGCTGGGCTGTCACGGCCACCGCATCCGGAAGCCTGACCCCCGTGGCTGTTGCCCACGAAAGCTCGTGCCACTGCGTATACTTGTGTGAGTCTCCCAGGCGCCAAAGGGCCACGCGTAATCCTGGGGAGATCAGACCGGAGCCGCCCATCTGGGCTGCTTCAGAACGTGGTTGCCCCAAGTTTTGAGCAGGCCTGTCCTTGGCCAACAGGTGCGCCTTTCCGGCTTGCTTAGCTCCACCGCTTCCGAGCATCCTCCGCGGTCCTTCTGCCAGGGTGTTCCCGGGACAAGGCATCTGGGGGTCGGTGCGCTGCTCGCTTTTCCTGGGGAGATCAGACCGGAGCCGCCCATCTGGGCTGCTTCAGAACGTGGTTGCCCCAAGTTTTGAGCAGGCCTGTCCTTGGCCAACAGGTGCGCCTTTCCGGCTTGCTTAGCTCCACCGCTTCCGAGCATCCTCCGCGGTCCTTCTGCCAGGGTGTTCCCGGGACAAGGCATCTGGGGGTCGGTGCGCTGCTCGCTTTTGGAGGGAACGCTTCCTTGCTGTAAAATCCGCTCGACGTTGGGCTCTGCGGCTTGGTTTGCAGCTGGCTCTGGGGAGGAGGGGTTGGAGTGGGGGGTTGTCTGCGAGGCAAAGCTGCCTGGTAAAAGGTGTCGCCCGTATCCTCGGCCTCCGTTCAGGGCTGAGTCTTCCTGTCCTTGCGCCGGAGCAGCTGGGCATCTTTCCGTGTTGCTCCGAGGGCTCCTGATTAAACTTTGAATCCAAATTAGGGTGTGGTGACAAATATCCACTTATACAAATACTGCCCAATGCTGCAGCCTGGCGTCCTCGGGACTGTCGTGAGGGATGTACGAACCGCCCGGGATCGTTAACCAGATCTATGCTTTGTGGGCGGCGGCATGCTGGGGTGGGGCAGGGTTGGGTTAGCCAGACGCATGCCGGTTAGGCACGTGCTTACTGGTTACCCAGTTAACCTTCAGCCTCCCCCACCAACCCCTCACGAACTCAACCTGGTGCCCCATCTGGGGGCTCTGCTCCGACCGCCGGTCCAGCAATGTCTCCTTGTCAATGCCCCCACGCTGGAGCAGCCATGGGGTCCCCGACGGTGCAGGACTGCAGCTGCTGCCCGACCAGAGAGTCCCGCACTAGAGAAATGAATGGAGATTGCCTATCTCCTAGAGCTGGAAGGGACCTTGGAAGGTCATTGAGTCCAGTCCCCTGCCTTCCCAGCAGGACCAAGGACCATCCCTGACAGATTTGCCCCAGATCCCGAAATAGCCCCTCACAAGGATTGAACTCACAATCCTGGGTTTAGCAGGCCAATGCTCAAACCGCTGAGCTACCCCTCCCCCCAAAGAGAGGTTCTGCGTGGACTCCTGCTGGGGCAGTACGGCCTAGTGGTGGGAGCCAGCGAGAGCGGGATTCGCAGCAAAGTTACTTCTTCCTAGAGCAGATCTAACTGGCATTGCTGTGAGCAACTCGTCAGAGCCAGTCACCCTGCCCGCGCCCGGGGTAGCTTGGGTGGATTTGTCGCTCCTGAGCGACGTGGCTGGGTCGACGTAACCGTGTAGCCCCGACGGGCCTCAGTCTCCACGTTTGTTGTGTGCGGGGCTCAGACTGGCTGGCACCCAGGGAGCGGCCCACTTCCTGTTAAAGCCCAGGGGCATCTCAGCAGGCTTGGCGTAGCTGCCGAGGCTGGGAGGGCTCCGTGGAAACCAGGCCCAAGCTCCTGCCTCATGCCGGCCGGAGGGCCTCGGCCCGGCCTGTCCATCCTGAGCCGGTGGCCATCCAGGGCATGCCACTGGGGGCTGCTGAGGGGTCAGGCCCCTCTCTTGTTCCACAGGTGGCATCTCAGTGGTGCAGAGAGGGAAAAGTCGCAGCGGAGGGCCTCGGCCCGGCCTGTCCATCCTGAGCCGGTGGCCATCCAGGGCATGCCACTGGGGGCTGCTGAGGGGTCAGGCCCCTCTCTTGTTCCACAGGTGGCATCTCAGTGGTGCAGAGAGGGAAAAGTCGCAGCGTTTTCCGCAGCGTGGGGAGCCACTGGGCTCCGCCAGCTCTTGCAGGATTATTGCGAAGAGCTGGGGGAATTCGGCTGGTCTCCTATTAAGGGTTCCCCCCCCACACACACACACAGGGGGAGATACCGGCTCTATGCTAGGGAATAAACCCTGCCCATCTCCTCCGGCCCCAGTGCACAACCAGATCGCGCTTTGCAGCTGGCTGCTTCGCGCTGAGCAAGAAGGTGCTGCCGTTCCTAGAATCCCCTGCTATCCCAGCCACTTCACTGGGAACGCTTCTGTGCGGGAAACGGAGCATTGGTCCTTGGCCCTCCTGGGCGGCTGTCCTCCGGCCGGAAGCTCCTGACTTCCGAGGATGTGCTGGAACAATCAGACAGGCCTGCCCAAAACTCCATTGGGTCCATGTATTCCCGCTTGGCCGGCTGCCCTGCCGTATGCCCGGCCTCCCCAGCGGGACCCGGTGAGCGCGTCTCCCTGTCCCAGAATAGGGCCTGAAATGTCCGGTTTGAAACGTAAAGGTGCCTCCGTTGGAATGCGATGAGCTAGGACTCCCTGATGGGGAAGTATTGTGTTGCGCGGGAACTAACGTGTGCAGCTAAGTACTGAACGTATCCGTCCGCTTCCTTCTCCCGCCCGGCTCGGCACGCGCTGAAATCCACGCCGGCCCAAGTAGGGCGCACGCGAAGCTGCGGTGCGTGTTAATCACTTCCTTCCCGCTTCTGATTTCAGTGGTCCTCCACGCCCCGCCTCCGACCAAGATCAAGCGGGAGCTCCATAGCCCTTCCTCCGAGCCGCCGTCCTGCAGCCGCGAACAGGCTCTCTGTGCTACCTACGGAGACAAGTGCCTCTACACCTATTGGTAGGTAGATCTTGGCTTGCCCCCCGGGGAGCCGCCAGCCCCGAGTTCATGAAAACCCCTCGCCGGTGGGGAGATGGGAAAGCACGCTCGCTTGGAGAGCAAGCGTCTTCCTAATGGCGCTCCAGAGCCAGGGAAGGGTGAGCAACGCCTGGCTGCACAGAACAGCCAACTTCTGGGTGTTTCCATCACCGCGGCCGGTGGAAGCTGGGAAAACGGCCCTAAATACTCCTGCGCGCAGCCCCGAGTTCATGAAAACCCCTCGCCGGTGGGGAGATGGGAAAGCACGCTCGCTTGGAGAGCAAGCGTCTTCCTAATGGCGCTCCAGAGCCAGGGAAGGGTGAGCAACGCCTGGCTGCACAGAACAGCCAACTTCTGGGTGTTTCCATCACCGCGGCCGGTGGAAGCTGGGAAAACGGCCCTAAATACTCCTGCGCGTTAGGGTTTGGTTGTGGGAGAAGTTGGTTTTGGAGGGCCCATGTACGTTGACGTTCGGCCATCCGGAGGGCTGCAGGGATCCTGGCTAGCACTG